ACAGCCCGGCCAAGGCGGACAGCCTGGAGGACAACCTGGGCAAGGAGGACAGCCCGGCCAAGGCGGACAGCCTGGAGTACAGCCCGGCCAAGGCGGACAGCCTGGAGGACAGCCCGGTCAAGGCGGTCAGCCCGGCGGCCAGCCCGGTCAAGGCGGACAGCCCGGAGGCCAGCCCGGTCAAGGCGGGCAGCCTGGACAAGGTGGACAAGGTGGACAACCCGGTCAAGGTGGACAGCCCGGACAAGGCGGACAGCCAGGTGACTAAAATAATATAGGTAAATTCAAACCCAAACGTTTTCCTCTACTCTTAAATATGATTTTACTGTTTTCCAGGGGCACAAGGGTGCAATGGTGAAGGTTTCCAGCCTGCACCTGGCGACTGCACCAAGTTCTTGCGCTGCGTGGACAACGGCGCGGGCGGCCTCACAAAGTACGAGTTTTCTTGCGGGCCCGGCACAGTGTGGGACCAGGCACTACTCACTTGCAACCACCCATGGGCGGTGCAGGGTGAGTGCGCCAACGCGCAACCCGCGCAGGGTGGTGGGGGAGATGACGGCGATGACGGCTCCTGGAAGCCCGACGGTGGCGATGACGGCTCCTGGAAACCGGACGGCGGCGATAATGGTCAGTGGCAGCCGGACGGCGAGAACCAGGTCAACCCCGACCAGGGCGGCACCAACAACCAGGGCAACCCCGACCAGAGCGGCGGTGACAACCAGGGCTATCCGTCGGGCCCCGCGCCCGGCGACGGCACATGCAGCACGGAGGGATTCCAGCCTGACCCGAGCGACTGCAAGAAGTTCATACGCTGCGTGCAAGGCACACGATACAACTTCGACTGTGCAGAAGGCACTGTCTGGGATCAAGACGTGCTTACGTGCAACCACCCGTGGGCGGTGAAACCCCCATGTGGCACAGGATCGGGACCTCAAGGACCAAGTGGGCCTCAAGGGCCATCTGGTGGACCACAGGGCCCTCAAGGGCCACAAGGACCTTCCGGCGGACCTCAAGGACCTCAAGGGCCTACTGGTGGACCACAAGGTCCGCAAGGACCTCAGGGGCCTACTGGTGGACCACAAGGTCCGCAAGGACCTCAGGGACCTACTGGTGGACCACAAGGACCCAGCGGCCCACAGGGACCAGGCGGACCTCAGGGACCAGGAGGACCTCAAGGACCAGGAGGACCACAGGGACCAGGCGGACCTCAGGGACCAGGAGGACCTCAGGGACCAGGGGGACCTCAGGGACCTAATGGCGGTGGAGAAGGCCCTAGCGGACCTCAAGGACCTTCTGGCGGACCACAAGGGCCGGGTGGACCACAAGGACCAGGCGGACCACAAGGACCAGGCGGACCACAAGGACCGGGCGGACCACAAGGACCAGGCGGACCACAAGGACCGGGCGGACCACAAGGACCGGGCGGACCACAAGGACCAGGCGGACCCCAGGGACCGGGTGGACCTCAAGGGCCTTCTGGCGGACCACAGGGACCGAGCGGACCTCAAGGGCCTCCTGGCGGACCTCAGGGACCTGGCGGACCCCAGGGACCTGGCGGACCTCAAGGACCAGGCGGGCCTCAGGGACCAGGTGGGCCTCAGGGTCCAGGCGGGCCAGAAGGACCTCAGCAACCGGGCGGCCAGAACGGCACCGCTCCATGTGACAAACCAAAGCCACCACCATCCCCAATTAAGTGCGAGAAGGCTGGTTTCTACGCTCATCCATCTGACTGCAAGAAGTTCTACCGCTGTGTGGACTGGGATGGCGACAAGGGACAGCGCTTCTCTGTGTTCTTCTTCGACTGCCCGGCCGGCACCATTTGGGACCCCGCCCTCGACACCTGCAACCATGCTGAGTCGGTCTACCCGCCGCGCGACTGCAGCGGTGGCGGTAGCCCACCTGAGTCTAGCCCTTCGCCGACCTCCCCGTCGTCCGAGACCACCACCGCGGCATCCGAAACCACCGCGCCTACCTCAGAGTCCACCACTCCTGGCTCGACCGAACCCACCACGGCTGGTTCCACTGACACGGCCACGACGGCCGGCCCCGAGTCTTCCACGACGCCTTCCGGCGAGACGTCCACCGACAGCACAACCCAGGGCAGCACCGGCTCGACCCCTGCGCCGGAGTCTTCCACGACGCCGTCAAACGAAACCACGACGGAAAGCACAACGCCATCCGAGAGCAGTACAGACTCCAGCAGCCCCGCCGCCACCACGCCGTCCTCCACCGAGGCCAGCAGCACTGAGCCCAACTCCACGGAGACGCCGAGCTCGACGGACGCCAGCAGCACTGAGGCCGGCGCGACGACACCGCCGAGCAGCACGGAGGCCGGCTCAACCACGCCCTCGAGCACAACGGAGGCCGGTGCCACGACGCCCCCGAGCAGCACGGAGGCTGGCTCAACCACGCCCTCGAGCTCAACGGAGCCCAGCGCCACGACGCCCAGCTCGACAGACGAGCCCACGACGCCCTCCTCTACCGAGCAGCCCAGCACGCCAAAGCCACCCGCGAGCAACAACACCGAGTGCCCGGACCTGGAGGAGGATCAGATGCCCCTGATATGTCCCACGGGCTTCCATAGGCACCCCAAGTTCTGCGACCAGTTCTACCAGTGCACCACATCGGGCACTGGCGGCAATGACATGAAGGTCCTTGTACTGTCCTGTCCGAACGCTACGCTGTTCGATGAGGAAAAGATCCAGTGTCTGCCGGCCGATCAGACAACGCCCTGCAAGGGTGCAATGGCCGGCACTAGAGTGAGGCGACTCGTGGACGACTCTCCTCCTCCGGTGAGTACCACCCCCCCCCCCTCTCTCTCTCTTCTGTAAGTGCATACTAACAAACCTTTACTTAAATTCCAGATCCAGATTACCACAAAGAAGGAGTTGTGTCCGTCGGAGGGCCTCTTCCCCTACGAACAAGACTGTCTGAGGTTCTACAGGTGCAAAAAGAGTCCGAAGGGACACATACGAGGTACGTCTCGCGCATGCTTGCCCCTGCTTTACCTTAACCGAGTGTACGCTGCGATCTATCACACACCCGTCTCATGTCGACAGGCTACCTGTACTCGTGTCCCACGGGCTTCGCGTTCTGGGACGTGTCGAAGCGGTGCGAGCGCATCGGCCGCATCCCGCAGTGCAAGCGCGGCATGGCGTACGACAACCGATACACGGAGGCGGCCCTCGCCCCCACCGAGATGTACAACGTCGGCGCGCGGTAGGGGAGGACGATACGTCAGCGACGCTCGTCAGGGCGGCCTCGACAAGGGCCTCGCCCGCGGGCCTCGCGTTGCACCGACCGGCCCCCGGCCGCCACCGGAATCGAAGAAGCTCTGACGACCTGGACTGACAAAGAATTTTAGTGGTTTATTTTTTTTGTGACAAATATATTGACAAAGTGACGCACGCTACGACCGCTGAAGAAGAAACGGCCGCGCTGCAGTCAGATTTCTGACTCGGGCGGCCACGTTATGTGTTCATCTCCAGCGGGCCGTAGTGTCCACTGACATGGTGTGGTGGTGTACGAGCATGGGAAACAAGACGAGCCTTTAGTTTGCTCATATTGAGCACATCCGATTTTTTTCTCTCAACATTTGGCCGATCTAGGAGTAGTGTGGTATTACTCTTTTACGATATGGCAATTTGTTAATCTATTTAGAATTAGTGGCGCAATGCACAGTGATATGAATACTCAATAAAACTGAAGGTGTTAGTGTTAAGGACTTCAACAACATGACTAAGATAAACAAAGACATTGATATTTGAGTAATTAAGAGCCAGATTTTATAAACATTTAACTTATTTTTTTTACATTGACAGCTTTTATACACTGGCTGCATTGTAGCAAAGTAGTTCTACTAAGCACATTTTATGCTCTGAATACCAGCCATTGACAAATGTGATCCGATTTATTTAAAATAAACAACTCTAGGCTAGGAAAGTAATTTTAGAAGTAAACAGAAATTTGTGGGCCTCTCATTCAGCAAAACCAAAACGTATTCCGTTTTGAAGAATTAGGGATTGCATTATCATGTGTCTGTGATCTGCTTAGCACAATTTTGTTTTATAAGTACGATTAAAACACCACAAATTTTTAAAACGAAACCTGGAATAGAGAGAACGGTTATAAAAAGGTTTCGAAAGTAAAATATCTATTTCAAAAAAGTGTTGTTTTAATAGTGAAATCTACGCTTCTAAAATATATGCTTATAAATTTATTATCTTGAAAGACATTACCTGAGATGAGAGAGCCGTGATGTGTAAATGCGACTGGTTGTATATAATCTCCATGAGTGTATGAGTACTGAGTGCGAGAGTGAATGCAAGAGACTGTTCTGTTACTTTGATTACAAATAAAGATTTTTAGAATTTAAATTGACACCTTGTCCAGCAGCTTCTTTTTCATGACCCATGCCGCACACACCAATGATATAAGAAAATGTAAAATAAAATTAAATTCAGAACGCCGGTACTCGAACCCGCGGCGCCACGCACGCGCGCGCAAGCCCGGCCTCGACCGCGCGTGAGGTGTAAACCCCGTGGGTGTAACAGCCCCGCGCGGCTGACGCGGCCAAACAACAGCCGCAGCGCGCGCGTTGCGCCGCCGTGAAACTGCTGCACTTTTGGGACGCGGGGCTGCCTCCGCGCGGCGAGCACGCCTCGACGGCCACCTCTCGCTCGCACTCGCACGTGTTATATGCTGACGCCCGCACTGCGGCGCACGGCGGCCGCCCACCGCGGGGCCGCGAGCCACGGCGCGGCGCTTTAGTGCGCACGGAGAGGCCGACGCGGAGCATGCGACCGCCGCCATGGCCGCCAACAAGCTCGACTACTCCCGGCTGCTCGACGACGAGTTCCTGAACCGCACCCCGGAGCGAGGCCGGGGCTGCGCCGTGTCGCGGGGCGCCGCGGAGGTGCTGGGCCTCCAGGGCAACCTACCCGCGGACGACGGCTGGAGCGGGCCTTCGCGTGTCACCGTGTTCCTCTACGGCGCCGCCATGGCCGCCGCCGTGCTCATCTCCATCATATTCGCCCTGCTCCTGGTGCACGCGCACCAGGAAGGCGTCCAGCGCCTGCAGACCCTCGGCATGCCCTTCGCGCAGCGCCTTACCATGGACAACGAGTCGCTTCTCGACACGGAAAACGAGTTGCCTATCGACGCAGACGAGGAGTCGATTCTCGACACGTCACCCTCTCCCACGGGCGATGCCCACGATTACGCGGAGGACTATAACTACGACGACGACCCACACGAGCATGATCACGGAGAAGATCACGATCACAATGTGCACGGTGCCGCCGATGAGACCGAACACCATATCGCTCTCGCGGGAGGGTTCGAGGACGCCGATGAAGACCACGATCATCCGCAGGGACTGCACGAGCACGTGAACCCGGGTGACGTGGTCATGGAGGACCACCACATCGTTCCGGCAGGTAAGTCGCAAACAGCACCCACCACCACGGCCCGCGGCCTCCAAAAAATGTAGTGCAGCTTGCTTCACACGGGGGGTCCTTTCGAAGGTGATCCGGAGCCCCCCGAGTACGTGCTGCTGCTGTGCCTGCCAATCAAGGGAGCAGCGCAGGCCAACGCGACGAACATCACAGAGTCCACGCTCCACCTGAGCCGCGCGCAGCGCGACGTGGTGCACTCCGTGGTGGAGTACGTGTCCGAGGCCGCGCAGTGCCACCTCATCGTGCTGCAGGGGGTGGGGGAGGAGGCCCAGGTGAACGCCACGACACAGGCGCCGGTCAACGGAACGGCGCCCAAGATCATCGGGTTCAACACGGGGTGAGTGATTCAATAACACACCCCTAAACGCGCGTGACTACGCCCCTAGTGCTAACGCACGCCTCGTGCACTGGACAGATGCGGAGCCCCGGAGGACGCGGACGACGAGCTGGTAGGGGCCGAGGCCGACGGCCACTTCGTCCTCACCACCGGGCGCACCCTCCCCGTCATACGCTGGGACGCGGCGTCGCTGTTCGCCAACTCCCCGCTGACCTCCGTGTGGCGGAACCTGCGCACGCGCCGGGCCGCGGGGGCGTCGTCATCGCCCACCTCCGCCGCGGCCTCGGCGGCGGGCCCGGACCTCCTAGGGGTGTCCGCCAGGGTGCAGCTCCTGTGGCGGTACGCCGGGCTTTCCGTGGACCTCGGTGCATCCTCTGACAAAGCGCTCAAGGTGCAAGCATGGCCCTACCCCCACGCCGTCTTTTATCGCCAAGTTCATATTCGCCATCCGGTACTGATAACCGCCTTAATTGCTCACAGGCGCTGAGCGTCTTCAACCGCTCCGATACGACCCACGTCTACCTGGAGACGACGCGAGCGGTGCTGCTCGCGGCGCCCCAGACCTGCAACGCCGTCGTGTTCGACCTCATCAAAGCCATCAGCAGCGACGCAGCGGACGGCACCACGCAAGCACAGGTACTGCAATCGCACAAATCACTTTAAATAGGTTACCTCGCGTTACTTTGAACTCATTATGTGTTTTGTGGCAGGCCGAACACTACGACGTTGCGGACGTGAAGGTGTTCGACGACGTCCTGAACGCGTACTGCCGTGGCAACCGACGTCACGCACGCTCCGTCAACGACACCGATGGTACTACCACGACGACAGAGGCCAGCCCTGCGACGGCTGCCCCCTCAACGGAGACGCCATCCTCGACGACGGTCACTTCCACTTCGGTTGCCGCGACTTCCATCGCACGGCCCTCCACCAGGCCGCGGCCCGCCCGGGCGAGGACGGCCTTCAACATGCTCCGGCCAGGCCCACCGGTGCCCCAAACCACCCCGGAGCCGGTGGACATCCGGGTGGACACGACTCGTTGCAGGGGAAACCTAGTGGCCATCTCGCTGGCGTAGCACTTATCTATTCTATATTTATTTTTGTACAGTACGAGCTAAGAATAAAATTGTAAATATCCCATTGAGGTCGGTTGCTGTCTTTGACCTGCACCGCCGCGACGACTCAGTCCATGACGGACGACGCCGAGCTGGCGACAGACGGTGGGCCCCGCCCGCGGAGCCGGCGGTCCAGGAGCTTGAACTGGAGGCCCAGCCACTGCTCGTACCAGCGCAGCGCGCCGCTCCACAGGTAGTACTCGAGCGCTGCAAAGCACGGCCTGCCCGGTACGGTACCGCGCCGCGGGGGTAGGCCACCCATTCAGCCCGCCGGCCCGCCGTTGCGCCAGGCAGCCACCCCGCCGTGCTGCCCGCTGGGTGGCCTACCCTCCGTCGCGCGGGGGCTCCCCGTCCAGGGCCGAGCTGACCTACCTATGACGATGCCGGCGAAGAAGGCGTACACGAGCGCAGAGTACACGCCAGAGTACAGCACGAGAAGGTAGGTGGCGACGACGGCGTCCGAGACGTCACCCAGGAGGTCCGCGGCCGTGAGCAGCAGCGCGGGCAGCGACAGCCAACGGCGGCCCTGGAACAGGCGAGGAAGTTAATAACTGTATCTCAGCAGCGGGAAAGAAGAACAGAACGAGTTCGAGGGAAGCGCGCTTGCCCCTTCCGTCCAGTCTCACTCTTGCACCTACTTACACACCAGGACGGCCTCCCTCCGTACCCACCGTGAGGACGGCGACGAGGACCAGCAGGCAGGTGGCGGCCGAGACGTAGGCGTGCGCTCCGCCCAGACCTAGGGTCACGTGCACGCCTAGAGCGGGCTGTGCGGCCCGCCGGGGCTCGGCGCCGCCCCAGTCCGCCGCGCAGCCCGCCCCCCGCCGCGCTCACCTGGCCGCGAGAAGCGCTGCGGCTGCGCGCCGGCCCGCGTGAAGCTGCCGTCGTGCCGGAGCACCCAGTCGCTGCGGCCGCGGGCGGCGCCGTGGACGTTGATCACCTGCGCACCAAGAATATGTTAGTAAATTTCGTAGTGGATATGACAAAACGACTAGGGTTGTCCGCTAGACGCGGCCAGTGTCGATAGAGGCGGAAAGTCCGAGGTAGAAGGGTAATCAAAGGGTACCCAATGGGTAATCCAGGGGTGATCCAGGCGGTAAATCGGGAGTGAACCAGGGATAAACGAGGGGTGATCCTAGTGACACGCCTTGTCCGTCGTACACAAGATTTCCTTCTCGGTAATTTTGCTGCACTGCGCTAGGCCAGTGGACGTAATGCTAATGCCTCACCAGCCCCAGCAGGGCGAACGCCAGGACGCGGTAGCCGAGGGTGGGGGAGGCGGACAGTTCCAGGGCGCCGAGGCTGCCCTTGGACCGGACGACGGAGAGGGGGTGCTCGTGCTCCACCGGGGCGGACTCGGGACCCGGCGCCCACGGCCTCGGCGCCCAGAGCAGCTCCATCGAGGTGGACATGGTGGTATGGTCGCCGCGGAAATGGCACCCGCAGGCATTATTGGCACCACATGGGCGGCATTATTGACACCCCGGGGGCGGGCGCTATTGGCACCGCAGGGCGGCCGGGCAGGGCTGCTAATAATCTGCATGAGTTTGCATCGCGTGCAGCGCAGCGGGCGCGTGCGGCGGGTGGGGCGGGCGGCGGGCGGGCGCCCCACCGGCCGCGCCCCACACCCCCGGGCGCGCTGCACCGCCCGCCGCCCCACCACCCCCAGGCGCCACCCCCCGGCGTCGCCATGGCAACCCTCCCGCCGCTGGGCGCCGCCACGACGCTGCCGCGACGCCGTCCGCCCGCTGCCCGCGCGTCAGTGTGCCTCCGAGGCGCCTACGCGACGCGCCGACCGCACCCCTCGCCGCCGCGATCCTCCCCCGCGCGAGCCGCGCACCGCAGCGAGCTCCACCTCGCGCGCCACGTGGCGCCACGCGCCGCCGCGACACGCAACCCCGCGGCTGCGCACGATAGCGGGGACAAAAGCGCTCCACGGCGCGCCCGCCGAGCAATACATCCGCCGCGTGCGATTGTGTTTGAGTGTGTGACCGTGTGCGTCAGAGTGAGTGGGTGAGTGAGCGCCTCCACAAGGGATGTTTATTGCCTTCCTGCAAGGCGGATTGGATACTCGCACACGACCGACATGACGTCATTCAGGCTGCGCGACGCGAGCAATCGAAAGGTAAATGCGACTATGTTCAGGAGGAAATACTTATCGTATCGGAATAGCTTGCGTCCCCTGCTTGCCCCCCCCCCCC